TGACATAACAGAGGTATTTCAATTTTCAGAATCGGATTCTGACCCCGATATCAAAAAGTCAACCCTCGGTCAAACTTCTCAAAAATTAAACTTTCGGCATTTCAAGCCTAATTCCTCTACGGACCTCCAAATAATATTTCGGACATGTTCCTAAGCCCAAAATCACCATACGGAGATATTGGAATTATCAAAATTCAAATCCGAGGTCGTTTACACATAGGTCCATATCCGGTCCACTTTTCTAACTCAAATTTTTAATTATGAGACTAAGTGTCTCATTTCACTCCGAGTTCCTTTCGGACTCGAACCAACTAATCCGATATAACATAATATAGCTGAATAATACAAAAAAAAGTAGGAATAGGGAAAACGGGATTATAACAACGACCGGCCGGATCGTTACACAGATTGACTGTGTTACAAATGACAATTTGATTATCAGTGTCTACAACTACTTGAATGAGCCTTTCCTCATTTCTTGGTATGACTTATAATCAAAGTGTATTCCTTTTTTCTTTCTTAATCCCCTGTTAATGTTATTCAGGTAAAGAAAAGATGCAATATGTTGGATATTAAGCAATGTGATTGACATTGTATGGATATATACAAAAAACTTTTTATTTTGATACAGATCTATTCAATATTTTTCCTCCTATATACGTTCATGAACAATGAAATGTCTCTGATAAAACATTTTCATCTCAAATGTTTCTCCAAAAACAATGTTCGCGTTTGTTCCTCATTTTTTTGGACATTGTATTTTTTGTTATTCCTAATATGAGTGTATAATAGTGTAGAAAAGTGCACAATATTGTTCTACTCCCTCATTCTGTTACTTTAGCTATGACAGAAAATTACACAATATTCTATAATAAAGTGTGTCTATATTGTAATATAATCTACAGAGAATTAAGTCGAATGTCACGTTTGTAGTAATCTAAGTGGTATACTTTTATAACTTACGTTGTGTTTCCGAAGTTAGTTGTGAAACTGCAATTCTGATTGTCATGTGCATTCCTTTATGTTTAATACAATTATTCTAACAGAGTAAAATGATGTAGAAGTTTTTAATGCCTTGTTGTATCGTCATATTAAGATTGAATAACCGGAAGTGAAATCCTTGTAGCTGAAAGTTAGGGATGAATAATCATCTTTATTTTGTAGAAGTTTTCTCCTTATAATCTCAAACTGCATTATGTCTAACAATCTTTGATATGACATAAAGGTTTTGATAGGGGAATCCTGTGATACTTCTCCCATTTTGAAATAGTTATGGAATTTTAAATACTATATATGTCAATGATTGGTGAGACAACAAGAATCAGCAAGCTATAACCAGGTTGTTACAAGCACTGCTGGTTAATACAATCTTGTACAAGTTGTTCTATCTCCTGGTAAATACTCTTTAGTATGACTATATATTTAATACTTGTTAAGTCTCTGTTAACTTGTATCATGTATGTGTTTGTGATTTATCATCCCTAGTTGGAAAGTCATCCGTTGTCAAAATTCAATAGGAAATGCATAATTGTTGTTCTCAGACATTGATATTATTCTTTGCTAATTTATTTCTTGATTTCTATAGATTGGAATTTACTAATATAATCTGACTTGCTAATTTATTTCACAACTGATTGTTTCCTGAAGAAAGGCGTGTTCCTTACAGTTTATTTCTCTTTTCTCTTATTCAGATTGTTTCATGTTCTGGTTTTAAATTACAACAAATACTGTCAAATGCTTTGTCCAACAATTATTGCGGTAACTTGACAAGTTACGACAACCAGTGTATCAATGTCTATCATACATAGTTTATGTGCATCTCTTTCAGCAGACAGTTGAAAGAGTTCCATCTGTAAGTGTTGTGTTATGTCGTCCGCTTGCACTTTATCCATTCTCTTCCTGCAGTTTCTGATTCTATCAACAAATCATGTCTTATATGTTAGCTTATAATGTTTTGTGGTCTTGGTTATAGTGATGTTCATGTCTGATGTGATTGAATAAGCTACTTGAGACCATATTTGGTTTCCACCATTTATGGCAAGGATTCAGGTAAGCATCTTTGTAAGTCTCAATTTAAACAATCCAAGCCTTCTTATTGCATTTGGATGTTCATTTAAGCTTACCATAAGTGGTATAAGCTAGCTTCCCTTCTTTCTAACATGATTGAAATTAGTCTTTCAAAAAGAAAACAATTAAGAAAACAGGAATAAGAAAGCTGTTGTTTGCTAATAAAGTAAGTTGTTGTTTGCTAATAAGTGGTATAAGCTATATAAGAGTGAGTACACAGTTTGCTAATAAGTGGTATAAGAGTGAGTATAGGTGGTATAATGTGCTGTTTGCTAATAAAGTTTAGATGAATAATACAGTTAGATATGCATTGTATCGTATCCTTCTTTATTTTCATATATTTTGTAGATATACATCGAGGGAGAGACCGAGGTAGTGCAGTATCTGTGGATCGCGGACACTTCTTACTATTTCTCCCACTTGGTTAGTCCATGCTTGTACTGTTATTTTTGATATATGTTATTGTTATTTGCACATCTTAATGGGCTAACAATGCGGAAACCCTTCAAGGCTTGATTGAAGAAGTGGCTTATTCCCACATATATTGAGTATGATAAGGTTGGCAACGCATATGGTGTGAGGTTGTATCAGTTTTCAACCTTTTCTTCTGTATTGAGACAAAAATGCATTAACTCTTTATGCGATTGTTTTTGTGAAAGTAGGAAAAAGTCTCAAAATTTAGGTGCTGGACAGTGAATAATGTCACAACATCTACTGCATTCATATTCTTAACTTGAAGTTTATACTTGGAGATGCTTCAAAAGTTTAAATTATCCTCTAGAATATGTTCCATTTGTACTTGTTTTCTTTTTAAATGGAAATGATGTGTGTCACTGGAGGTTGGAAGCCTAGTTGCTTCCTGTTTAGATATAAAGATAAAACTCGTTTTGGTTCCTGGAACATTTATAGGGAGAGGCAATGTTATATTCAGATAAACAAGTAGACAAATGAAGTTGGAATTTTCCACTAGCCTATTCAAAAAGTTATAGAAGCTTTCCGACTTTTATCCACATTTTTCTACCCAAGTTGCTTCCTTTTCTCTATGTTATTTTTCAATCTCATTTTTATACAAACGTCTTTTTGCCAATTTTTTAAATTGAATATATTTTGTATAAGCTGTTAAAAAGGGTCGAGATCCAACGCCAAGTAAGATACATTTGCCCATCCATACACATGGTAATGATGAAAATCTTTTGTTGGTGAGAAATCTTGAATCGTACATGTAAGTCAACTTTTTAAATAATTTTATTGACTTTACTTTCATATCTTTTTTCATTTTGTAAATTGAATATTCAATATTTTTTAATGTTTCAATTTCACTAATTATTAACTCTTTCTACTGGAAAAATATCAGAAAATATTACAATAACAAACATAGAGTCAATATGATATTGATCAGTGTAAAGCATATTACGAAGCTTTGGGAGGAGAAAAGAAAAGAAGAGTATATGGTCTTGGATCTCAAGCAAAATGCTACTACGTGCCGAATTTTCGTGACTCTTTTGGATCTGATGCAATATCCTCAGCAATACCTTTAAATGCTCAATCAACACCGATAGAAAATCTAGATAAGTTAGTGACACGATTGATTTCTGTACTGACAGATCATATAGTTCCTGTAATTGTTAAGCGGGTACGCGAATTAGTTTATTTATCCTCGCCAAAATTGATCTTACCAACCATCCATCAGATGTGGCACCTATAGTTCCTACCTCTTCTACTGCTGCTAACATTGATGAGGTTCATGCATTTATGATGATCATTTAGCCTATTTTGTTTAGACTTTATTGTTGGTACTTGTGGATGTTTTGTACTTAACGATACAGTTATAAGCATTATGCTATATATTTTGGACCTTGTTGAATGTTAATTTATATTAATATTAGTCACTTTTAATTAAATGTATTTAATAGCATTTTTATAATATGCTTGAACATGGTACATTTAAAATAATAAATAAATAAATAAAAAATTTAAAAATTTAGCGACAAATATTTTTCGTAGCTAAAATTAACACATAAAACTAAATCTTGCGACAAAAGATTTTTATCGCTAAAAGCAGCAAGAACTAGTGACGGATTCTTTCGTTGCGAATAAGAACAAACGACGAAGTTTATTATGAATTGCAACGACAAAATTAGTTAAAATAGCGACGAAACGAAGCAAAATAGCGACGGTTTTTTCAGTCGCTAAACTTCGCTACGGATATATTACCTCGCTAATCCGTCGCTAGATTTGCGATGGTTTTGTATTTTTCGTCGCTATGAGCTTAGCTACGAGCATTTTAGAGTCCAACTTGAATTCGTCGCTAAATCGTCGCTAAACTAGTTTAGCAACGGAAATAAGATGTTTAGCGACGGAATACGTCCGTCGCTAAACGCTGTTTTTTTTGTAGTGGAGGCCTAAGAAGTATTGGGGAGGGGTAATCAAGCAGGATATGGAGAGGTTTCAGATCTCTGAGTACATGGCCCTCGATAGGAAGTTGTGGAGGTCGAGCATTAAGGTTGTAGGTTAGGAGGTAGTTGAGCATATTTCTCAGTCGTACCAGTGTGAGACTAGGCTGATAGGATTTTATCGTAGACTTCTAGTGGTCAATGTTGTGTTCACACTACTCTTCCGTTTTCATAGTGTCGTGTCTTATTTACTGATTATTATCTTTGCTTTCCATCTATTTACTAGTTCTTGTGATGTTGTTATTATTTCTATGGTTTTTATTGCTGGTACTGATATATTGTCTCTTTTCGTCTTTCTGAGCCGAGCATCTATCGGAAACAACAACTCTACCCCTTCAGGGTAGAGGTAAGGTCTGCGTACACACTACCCTCCCCAGACTCCACTTGTGGGATTTTACTGGGTCATTGTTGTTGTTGTAATTCTTAAAAAAGGAACAATACAATGTAAAATTCCTAAAACAAATCATACATCCCCATTTTGTTTGAAGATCTCCGGGGGCAAGTGCGCAAATAGCCACTCAGGAATGTTATTTAGAGATTAGCCAGTACTTACTGAAATTTTAAACTAAAATCTTAACTTTAGGATAATTCAAGACACTTTTGTCCTTAAAAATTGAACCAAAAAACTGAAATTCAGGACGCACTGGCTAATTCCTAAATAGCAGCCTTTTAGAGTGTCTACCTAGTGTCATTTCTACAGATCTGCATACTGGTGTTTTTGTGAAGTCACACAACTGTGTAAAAATGGCATGTGGTAGCCACTAAATAAGGTGGTATTTATTTTTTATCCACCAATTCTAATGTTGAGCAAAAATATCCACAATTCTATTAAAATTAATATGAAAAGATATTTTTACCCTTTCTTCTATTTCTTTTATTCCTAAGCCCTTCCTTTATACGCTTCTCTTGATTTAAGTTTAGAGCCAAAATTTCAGAGGCAAAATTTCTCTCCCTCAATATCGCTTCTGCATGCAACTCTTTGTGAGATTTTGTTCCTGCCCAGCCCACATCAATTGTTTGCGTATACTTTGTCCAACTTAATCTCTTCTCCTTTGTCATCTTCTCTGCAGCGAACCAGCGAACTGGTATATCTCTAATCGTGATCAATGCTGTGTTTGTCATCAAGTATATATGAAATGTCCAAAATAATAATTATAACTTGATTCGCTGAGGAATAAAGAGCGAATTTTTGTGAGAAAGTTATTGAAAACCTTTTGATATTGAAATGTGTTTGTGGTTCAATCAATATATTGATTATGTAAGGATATTTCAGAAAAATAGTCATAAGAATTTGTAAACTAACTGTGTTTAGGAATTTTAGTTAATTGTGCTTCTATTAAAGATGCATCTAATTAGGTTCTGGATTTTAGTTTTTTAGTTTAAATATAAAGGACATTTCAGAAAAATAGTCCTAAGAATTTGTAAGCTAATTTTAGTTAATTGTGATTCTATTAAAGATGCATCTAATTAGGTCATGGATTTTAGTTTTTTAGTTTAAATATTAAGGACATTTCAGAAAAATAGTCCTAAGAATTTATAAGCTAATTTTAGTTTACGTTCTATTTCCTTATTTGTAGTGTGCTAATGGAAGGAGATCGCATTTTCGAGTTTGATGATTGGCGTAATTCGATGAGCTATTGGAAAGGAGATTTTCAGTATAAGGAAACAATAAAAAGTTTCTTATCGAACACGCAATGGAAGAAGTTGAGGGATGGTGTTTTCGGAAACTTTTTTCGATTACAAGGTGTGAAGTTATATGGTAAACTTATTCATTGTGTGTTGCTTTCAGAAATTGTAAGCAATGACTCGAATTCAATGACATTCAAGATTTTTGATTATGAAGTGAAGTTTACACGTGAAGCGTTCCAGATAATTACTGGGTTGAAATGTTCTTCTTCAGTGGACTTCAAAGTTTTGAGTGAAAGAGAGAATAGGCTTTCGAAAGTCTACTTCCCTGGAAAGGATAGAATCGAGTTAGGCAATTTGTGCCATTTTATTACTAATCACCCATATGGTACAACTGCATCATTTGTAGGTAGCCATGACGATGCGGTGATGTTGGCAACAATTTATTTTGTTGAATCTGTGTTGATGGGGGAGCGCAAGAATCAGAATGTGTCTGAGCGGGTAATGAAAATCGTAGATGACGATGAACTCTGCTCTTCTTTCAATTGGGGCTCTCTTTGTTATGAAAAATAATTAAAATCATTGAAGAGTTGCTTGAAGCCCAAACAAAATACTTCAGACAATGAGAAAGAGAAAGAGAAAGATAAAGAGAAGGACAGTTATATTATACTTGGCTTCCCTTTCGCCTTCTGTGTTTGGATTATAGAAGTATTCCCAATTTTTCAGGAAAAGCAATTTACTTCACAGAATGTGGGTTCCCTCGGATGCTATGTTATTCAGATATAAAATCTCCACATTATGACACCCTATGTAAAAAGTACTTCCATAATGAAAAAGTAAGTTAATATGATTACTAGCTATTTTTTTTATTTATGTGTTTTAGTTCTGAATACTTACATTTTTTTCTTATATAATAGTTGTATCAGTTGCACAAGATGGTACCATTTGTTTCTTGTGAAGAAGATGCGGAGCCCGCTAGTGTACATGTGCCATTGTCTTAAGATCAAAGTTCAATGCCTTCAACACAATTTGATGAAGTCTTGTTTAAGGAAATTGTTAACGTAGGTTTTCTGTCTTTGAATACCATTAGTTTTTTATTTGCTTATTTTTGCTTAAAAAACTTTTTTGTTTTTATGGTTTTTGATTCAGAGATTATCGGAGAAGTTCAAAAAGGATATGCAGGCAGAAAGTACTAGAATACATCAAAATATAGCTTTATCAGAAAAAAAGGATTCAAAATGACATCAAGGTAATATCCTTAATTTTTGTGCTTGTAACTCTAAGTTCAGGACTACATGTCCTTAACTTAGAGTTAAAAGTTCAAAAGTTAAGGATAGGAAGTCCTAAACTTAGAGAGAGATTATAGAGATACACATCTAGAAGATGAAACTGATATTGGCATCGAAATTGGGAAGGTTAGATACAGTTTTTGAATTTGTTGTCATTGAAATTTATATTCAATAGCGTAATACATATAAACTTTTTTGTGATTACAAATGTGTGTAGAATCTCAAGATGGAGTGGAATGTCAAGACCAGGAAAGTCCAAAAGAGACAAGTGTAACAGAAATAATTCGTAAATCTGGAGTGCAATCTCAGGATTTAGAAAATCCATTGGGAACAAGTATAAGTGAGATTGTATGCAAATGTGTTGAAGGAATATATGATCTATCTACACCTCTCTCACTTAAAGAGAAATTTGAAAATCAAAATGATGCCAATCAAGGTTAGATGGAAATTTCATAATATATTAAATGTTAGTTTTAGTAAACTATTAGTAACAAGTATTAATTGTAAATGTTACAGAATCTTTTAAAGCTGCAAGGAAAGAAGATGGATTGGACTATCAAGATGATGAAATTTCAAAAGAGAGAAGTGGAGGACAATCTCAAGACATAAAAAATACCCAAAGAACAAGCATAAGTGAGATTGTTTGCAAATGTATAGAAGGAACATATGATATCTCTACACCTCTCTCTCTTACAGACAATATTGGAAGCCAAAAAAATATTAATCATGTCACGACCCAATTTTCCCTTCGTCTGGGTATCGTGATGGCACCTAGTCTTAGAGACTAGGTAAGCCTAACAATAATTAAAATAACATTATTTAAATAGAATCTCTTAAAATTCCCAAAACAGGTAGTACAAGTCATAAGCTCTACAGAGTGTTTTCTAGAAAACTTCTTAATACAACTGTCCAGAAATATGAATAAACAGTGCAAAACGAAAAAAGTTGAAGATGACTCCGAAGCCTGCAAACGCAGCAACAAGTTTACCTTGAGTCTCCATAGCAGAAGTTCACACAGCTAGCTAACGAACAAGTACCTGCATCTGCACACAAATGTACAGAAGAGTAGCATGAGCACACCACAGCGGTGCCCAGTAAGTATCAAGACTAACCTCTGTGAAGTAGTGACGAGGACTAGTCAAGACACCCACTGGTTTAATAAACTGAACAAGTATAAGTATAGGGATGACAGAACATGACATCTATCTAAGGACCCCGCAATGTGGCTAACGACTTAACAACTGCAATAAGGAAGGAAAAACAACAAGTAACAACGGAACACCAAAATAAGACACAGAAGAATGAAC